ACACTCGTGACAGTCTGGTTAATATTCAAAAATTCATAAAAAATCATCCTTCATAGCTGATGTACAACTTTCACCACATCCTTACTCTGGAACACCCACTCTACCTGTGTGCCACATTTCAGACAGATTTACTGTAGAAATCTTCAGATATTACAGAAAACTTGTATTCAGTCCACACTCGTGACAGTCTGGTTAATATTCAAAAATTCATAAAAAATCATCCGTCATAGCTGATGTACAACTTTCACCACATCCTTACTCTGGAACACCCACTGTACCTGTGTGCCACATTTCAGACAGATTTACTGTAGAAATCTTCAGATTTTAAAGAAAACTTGTATTCAGTCCACACTCGTGACAGTCTGGTTAATATTCAAAAATTCATAAAAAATCATCCGTCATAGCTGATGTACAACTTTCACCACATCCTTACTCTGGAACACCCACTGTACCTGTGTGTCACATTTCACACTGATTTACTGTAGAAATCTTCAGATTTTAAAGAAAACTTGTATTCAGTCCACACTCGTGACAGTCTGGTTAATATTCAAAAATTCATAAAAAATCATCCGTCATAGCTGATGTACAACTTTCACCACATCCTTACTCTGGAACACCCACTGTACCTGTGTGCCACATTTCAGACAGATTTACTGTAGAAATCTTCAGATTTTAAAGAAAACTTGTATTCAGTCCACACTCGTGACAGTCTGGTTAATATTCAAAAATTCATAAAAAATCATCCGTCATAGCTGATGTACAACTTTCACCACATCCTTACTCTGGAACACCCACTGTACCTGTGTGCCACATTTCAGACAGATTTACTGTAGAAATCTTCAGATATTACAGAAAACTTGTATTCAGTCCACACTAGTGACAGTCTGGTTGCATATTCAAAAATTCATAAAAAAATCATCCTTCATAGCTGATGTACAAGTTTCACCACATTATGATTCTGGGACACCCACTGTACCTGTGTGCCACATTTCAGACAGATTTACTGTAGAAATCTTCAGATTTTAAAGAAAACTTGTATTCAGTCCACACTCGTGACAGTCTGGTTAATATTCAAAAATTCATAAAAAATCATCCTTCATAGCTGATGTACAACTTTCACCACATCCTTACTCTGGAACACCCACTCTACCTGTGTGCCACATTTCAGACAGATTTACTGTAGAAATCTTCAGATATTACAGAAAACTTGTATTCAGTCCACACTCGTGACAGTCTGGTTAATATTCAAAAATTCATAAAAAATCATCCGTCATAGCTGATGTACAACTTTCACCACATCCTTACTCTGGAACACCCACTGTACCTGTGTGCCACATTTCAGACAGATTTACTGTAGAAATCTTCAGATTTTAAAGAAAACTTGTATTCAGTCCACACTCGTGACAGTCTGGTTAATATTCAAAAATTCATAAAAAATCATCCGTCATAGCTGATGTACAACTTTCACCACATCCTTACTCTGGAACACCCATTGTACCTGTGTGTCACATTTCACACAGATTTACTGTAGAAATCTTCAGATTTTAAAGAAAACTTGTATTCAGTCCACACTCGTGACAGTCTGGTTAATATTCAAAAATTCATAAAAAATCATCCTTCATAGCTGATGTACAACTTTCACCACACCCTTACTCTGGAACACCCACTGTACCTGTGTGCCACATTTCAGACAGATTTACTGTAGAAATCTTCAGATATTACAGAAAACTTGTATTCAGTCCACACTAGTGACAGTCTGGTTAATATTCAAAAATTCATAAAAAATCATCCGTCATAGCTGATGTTCAACTTTCACCACATCCTTACTCTGGAACACCCACTCTACCTGTGTGCCACATTTCAGACAGATTTACTGTAGAAATCTTCAGATATTACAGAAAACTTGTATTCAGTCCACACTCGTGACAGTCTGGTTAATATTCAAAAATTCATAAAAAATCATCCTTCATAGCTGATGTACAACTTTCACCACATCCTTACTCTGGAACACCCACTGTACCTGTGTGCCACATTTCAGACAGATTTACTGTAGAAATCTTCAGATATTACAGAAAACTTGTATTCAGTCCACACTAGTGACAGTCTGGTTAATATTCAAAAATTCATAAAAAATCATCCGTCATAGCTGATGTACAACTTTCACCACATCCTTACTCTGGAACACCCACTGTACCTGTGTGCCACATTTCAGACAGATTTACTGTAGAAATCTTCAGATATTACAGAAAACTTGTATTCAGTCCACACTAGTGACAGTCTGGTTAATATTCAAAAATTCATAAAAAATCATCCGTCATAGCTGATGTACAACTTTCACCACATCCTTACTCTGGAACACCCACTGTACCTGTGTGTCACATTTCACACAGATTTACTGTAGAAATCTTCAGATTTTAAAGAAAACTTGTATTCAGTCCACACTCGTGACAGTCTGGTTAATATTCAAAAATTCATAAAAAATCATCCGTCATAGCTGATGTACAACTTTCACCACATCCTTACTCTGGAACACCCACTGTACCTGTGTGCCACATTTCAGACAGATTTACTGTAGAAATCTTCAGATTTTAAAGAAAACTTGTATTCAGTCCACACTCGTGACAGTCAGGTTGCATATTCAAAAATTCATAAAAAATCATCCGTCATAGCTGATGTACAACTTTCACCACATCCTTACTCTGGAACACCCACTGTACCTGTGAGCCACATTTCAGACAGATTTACTGTAGAAATCTTCAGATTTTAAAGAAAACTTGTATTCAGTCCACACTCGTGACAGTCTGGTTGCATATTCAAAAATTCATAAAAAATCATCCTTCATAGCTGATGTACAACTTTCACCACATCCTTCCTCTGGAACACCCACTGTACCTGTGTGCCACATTTCACACAGATTTACTGTAGAAATGTTCAGATATTAAAGAAAACTTGTATTCAGTCCACACTCGTGACAGTCAGGTTGCATATTCAAAAATTCATAAAAAAATCATCCTTCATAGCTGATGTACAAGTTTCACCACATCCTTCCTCTGGAACACCCACTGTACCTGTGAGCCACATTTCAGACAGATTTACTGTAGAAATCTTCAGATTTTAAAGAAAACTTGTATTCAGTCCACACTCGTGACAGTCTGGTTAATATTCAAAAATTCATAAAAAATCATCCTTCATAGCTGATGTACAACTTTCACCACATCCTTACTCTGGAACACCCACTCTACCTGTGTGCCACATTTCAGACAGATTTACTGTAGAAATCTTCAGATATTACAGAAAACTTGTATTCAGTCCACACTCGTGACAGTCTGGTTAATATTCAAAAATTCATAAAAAATCATCCGTCATAGCTGATGTACAACTTTCACCACATCCTTACTCTGGAACACCCACTGTACCTGTGTGCCACATTTCAGACAGATTTACTGTAGAAATCTTCAGATTTTAAAGAAAACTTGTATTCAGTCCACACTCGTGACAGTCTGGTTAATATTCAAAAATTCATAAAAAATCATCCGTCATAGCTGATGTACAACTTTCACCACATCCTTACTCTGGAACACCCACTGTACCTGTGAGCCACATTTCAGACAGATTTACTGTAGAAATCTTCAGATTTTAAAGAAAACTTGTATTCAGTCCACACTCGTGACAGTCTGGTTAATATTCAAAAATTCATAAAAAATCATCCTTCATAGCTGATGTACAACTTTCACCACATCCTTACTCTGGAACACCCACTCTACCTGTGTGCCACATTTCAGACAGATTTACTGTAGAAATCTTCAGATATTACAGAAAACTTGTATTCAGTCCACACTCGTGACAGTCTGGTTAATATTCAAAAATTCATAAAAAATCATCCGTCATAGCTGATGTACAACTTTCACCACATCCTTACTCTGGAACACCCACTGTACCTGTGTGCCACATTTCAGACAGATTTACTGTAGAAATCTTCAGATTTTAAAGAAAACTTGTATTCAGTCCACACTCGTGACAGTCTGGTTAATATTCAAAAATTCATAAAAAATCATCCGTCATAGCTGATGTACAACTTTCACCACATCCTTACTCTGGAACACCCACTGTACCTGTGTGTCACATTTCACACAGATTTACTGTAGAAATCTTCAGATTTTAAAGAAAACTTGTATTCAGTCCACACTCGTGACAGTCTGGTTAATATTCAAAAATTCATAAAAAATCATCCGTCATAGCTGATGTACAACTTTCACCACATCCTTACTCTGGAACACCCACTGTACCTGTGTGCCACATTTCAGACAGATTTACTGTAGAAATCTTCAGATTTTAAAGAAAACTTGTATTCAGTCCACACTCGTGACAGTCTGGTTAATATTCAAAAATTCATAAAAAATCATCCGTCATAGCTGATGTACAACTTTCACCACATCCTTACTCTGGAACACCCACTGTACCTGTGTGCCACATTTCAGACAGATTTACTGTAGAAATCTTCAGATATTACAGAAAACTTGTATTCAGTCCACACTAGTGACAGTCTGGTTGCATATTCAAAAATTCATAAAAAATCATCCTTCATAGCTGATGTACAACTTTCACCACATCCTTACTCTGGAACACCCACTGTACCTGTGTGTCACATTTCAGACAGATTTACTGATTTATAAAGAACTGCAGTGTTTCCTTCTTTACCACAGTATTTAATGTACTTGCAGCCTTTATCCACACCGGCTGTGTGTATGTGTGTGTGTGTTGGGAAAAGTGCTTATTGCACTGATCTGCAGCCACAAAGGAAACAGTGCAGTAGAGTAGAACCAGTGAGGTGTTGTAGATCTATAGTTATCGGCCCATTGTGTTAGTCTTATTCAAACGAAGCCAGACAGGAAGAACAGCTGCAGCTCAGCTATCCTCCCATCTGTGTTACTCTTGTAATTCCTACTGTAACAAGATCCAGCTAGATTGGCCCTGAAGTCCTGCTGATGTTTAGCTAACCTCTAGTTAAAAATCCTCTTTATAAACCTCTTTATTGTAATGTTTAGTCCATCTTTCCTAAAGCTGAGGCAGGTCAGGTCCAGAGCCAAGCAGTGTGGGTTTGAGTTGGACAACTTTGTTTTTAGTCTTTCAGATGTGCTTCCATTTGATCTGACTTCAACTCACGACATTGCATTTATTTTTTTAACGGATCAAACTTTTCTCTTAAACTGCAGAATCACATCAGGACTTTGATGACGGACAGTTTGGAATTCACGGTAAGTTGAAATAGAAAAACAAAGATCCAGTCAACGTCTTATACTTCCAATTTTTAAAAATCTTTAACATGAAGTTCACTAAAGCTTGGTTTATGCTTGACGCGTCCGCGAGGTCCGCACGTCTCCACGCGGCAAAGTTGCGTCATTTTAACAACCACGCCCCTCCACCGCGCCTCCGCACGGCCCAAACTTTCCGCACCGCGCACCTAGGAAATTTTCTAACCACTCGGTCGGTCGGACGTGGAAAAACATGGCGGACTGGCAAGAACTAGTATGGCAGAGGTTCGTAAATACAGACATTTGTATGATTCAGCTCTCAGAGATCACCGTGATCAACATGTTAATAATTCTTGAAGAGAAATAGCTCGCACTGTCGGAAAAGACGAGGACGCTGTTAAAAAGTGCTGGAATGCCATGTTGTAAACAACAGTAATTTTTACTTCTACTATGGTTTAGTGTTGGATGCATGCTGTAGAGCTCCATGCTGCCCCCTACAGTTTGGGAGAATATTGGCTCACCGCAGAGACAAGCCGCATGAACCATAAACGCTGCGAGTTGTGAAGCGCGTTCCATCCGTGAGCCGCATCACCAAGCGGAAAGTGAATGCGTCAAGCATAAACCAAGCTTTATTCTTTTCTTAATTTTACAACCCAGGATTTTTAGTATGACTTTGTGTCAGAACTGCATAGAAGTCCAAGTCCTTCTCTTCCTGCTGTAGTAGCAGCTCTGAGGTATCTGCTTCTGATGCACTAAGTCACAGCACATCCTTATCACTCGCTGTCCTGCAGATGGGGTGAAATGTGTCGACTCGGGGTGGCTGACATGCCAGACAGACATTCGCCTGCGTTTGCACTATTCCAAGAGGCCTCCGGTGTCCATCACTAAGAAGAAGTTCAAGAAGTCCCGCTTCAGGTGTGGAGGATACTGAATCTAAATTAAACATCAGGAGAAAGTCCACTGTGAGGGAAACCTGAGCTGCACTCGTGTCGTAAAAACCCGATGCTGACGACATTAACTCACCTCTGCAGGATCAAGCTGACACTCGAAGGCTTTGAGGAAGAGGAGGAGGAAGAAGAGGAGCCCACCCCTTCATCTTGGCACAAGATGACTCCCACTCTCGGGATCAGTATGATCAATGCTATCGGCTACAAGTCGAGACACTCCCAGCCAGAGTGTGGCTACGCCCTGGAGCCCACGCAGTGGACTGAGTACAGTATCCACACCATGGACCCCGACAACCTGGAGCTCACCTTTGAGTTCTTTGAGGTGACAAAAAAACCACATCCACTCACATTTTTATCTTTTTCAGCGGTTTGCCGTTGTGCTAATCCAGAATTTGATTGCAGGAGGATCTGAGTGAGCATGTAGTCCAAGGGGACATCCATCCTGGTCACGTGGGGACAGCCTGCCTCCTCTCCTCTTCGTTTTTCGAGAGCGGCAAGGACTTGGGAGTTGTCACGCTTCCCATAATGGGACGAAACTCCAGGCAGACGATCGGGAAAGTGAGAGGTCAGAATTTAGACGCACGATTTAATGCCTGAATGCTGCGTTCAGCTATGTTTACGTAGCTGTTGCTGTATTTTTAGTGGATTATATGGTGATCCGCCCCATCCCGGGGCTCCAGTGCGACATGAGCTCATCCTACACGAAACATTGGAAGAAAAGGAGCACCGTAGATGTGGGTCACAGAGGAGCGGGCAGCACACATGCTGCCAAGTGAGTTCTGAGTCTAAACCTGGATCTAAATGATGCTAGCTATATTAGAGGTGTGCGATAACGTTTACATTGTTGTTTTACAGACACTACAAAGTGCGGGAGAACACAGTAGCCTCGTTCACAAGTGCTGCTATGCACGTAAGTGACAGAGGCGATAAGCGGTGGTGCAAACCTTCTCTCATTCCTAAAGCATGCTCGTGTTCCTACAGGGTGCAGCTTTTGTGGAGTTCGACGTTCACCTCTCCAAGGACGAAGTACCAGTTGTTTACCACGACCTGACCTGCTGCATTTCCACCAAAAAGGTCATTTAAAACTCTTGTCACTTCAGATTCTCGCCCCCGTAGCCCGTTTCATACTGACGCTTTTGTTTGACAGAAAAAAGACGAGAAGCTGGAGCTGATCGAGGTTCCAGTTAAAGATCTGACATTTGATCAGCTGCAGCTTTTAAAGGTTTGTGCCGGTTTAACTTGTCTGTGTTGTTCCACCGTTCTGCTGTTTGTTTACAGATAAGCTGTGAGGCCAAATGACTGATTCCAAGTTGGATAGCTGGCTAAAGTTCGTACAGCTGGAGAAGGCTAAATGACACACACCATCTTTTAGGTTTTGTGTGAAAATAAGTCCAGGACCACAAATGCGCTTCACGAAAGTGACGTCATCGAGCCAGACACGGAGAAAACTGAGGGAAAAGGGCTGTAAGTTCAGCAAACTTCCCACAGGAGGGAAGAGCCACCATAAATCTGGTCATTTGGTAACTAGCAGCTACGCTAGGGGGGAGGAGATTATGTGGTGATGTCACATAGTTTGTAGTCATGCTAATTATAAACTTTTACAAGCTAATAAATCTCAAAGTACGTGACTGGCATGGTCGAAACGCACATCATTACTTTTCATTGAAATTGCAGTACAGCACTTGTGATCCAGGGCGTAAGGCAAAGCAGATTAGAAAATAGCGTATTTTTAGCCCCGTTGACGTTGACTTGCATTCATTTTTTTCGTTCTTCCGGGGATCCATGATGCGGAAGTGACTTATGGACCATTCCCATCTGTACCGGGTCGGCCCGGGCCGGGTAGCCCCAGTCGGCCCCAGCCTGGCCCGGTTGATTCCACACATCCTTGTCTTAAGCCCATGTGGGCTGATTCTACCCACCAATCAGAGGATTGCTCTAGTGGAAGGTGTGAATTTGCTGTCAGCAGTGGGTGTGTTGGCCCTGGTCGGCCTGAAGCAGACCCCCTCGAGAAGAGGGCTGAGAATGAGCCTTGGTTGGCCCGGAAAAATACCAGGCCACCCAGATATGTAAACAACCTACGCTACCCGGCCCGGGCCGACCCGATACAGATGGGAATGGCCCATTAGGCTCCCTATTGAAATGTAACTCCCTCTGTTATGGTTCAGATACCTCATGTTAAACATGTTACGTGTCAGTTTGGACTCTTTATTGAATTTTCCTACAATAAATTCAGTCTAAAAAATTGCTAAAATCGTCTGAATGTATCGTATCGTCTCCCCTGCATCGTGATGCGTATCGTTTAGCCAGAATTTCACCATTACACATCCCTATTAATTCATTTCTCCTCCTCTGAAGCATTTATGGGCTTGTTTGTTCATCAGCTGACTGCTGTTATGCTAAGGAAGTGGACAGTATGACCCTTTTCTTTCCACTGGATGTGAAATTGGCACGAAACGACTGTGAAACGTGGCAATTAACCGCCGTGATAGTGGATGAGTTCCTTTCCACCGGCAGCGTTTTGGACACACCCCAGAAACAAGGGGACACTGTCATTATGCTTAAAGTCCATATTTTACACACCATGCTTTGAAAACAAGTCAAACTCTGCAGCTTAGAATGCACCAGACAGGAAGTCAAACACAAAAGCAATGTAAAGCATCCGGAAACATTCAAAATAAAAGTCTCATGCAGGTAAATGTACATCATTTGCTGTTAAAAACCCGGTAGCCGTGTGAACGGAACAGAAAATCAGACCTTTTTGAATGCACGCAGCTAGGGCTGGGTAATTAATCGAAAATGTATCGTTATCGAAATTTCTGACTTTTATCGGGATAATTTTCCCATGCCAATACATTTTGAAATAAAAATATTAAAAGATGTATGTATGTCTCTTTAAGAAGCTGTACCACCTTGAGTCAAGTAAAATAGTGATTTAACGTAATACATGTGACAGCGCCATCTATTGGAGAACTTTTGTTTCTGCGCATACCTGTAGTTATCGTCCATTTATCATTATCGAGGTGAAATCCTCACAATATGGTGATATTGATTTTAGACCGTATCGCCCAGCCCTACATGTAGCTGTCTTTCTCTTTGCTTATTGTTGTGTGTGTGGACTTCTGGAATCACACAAGGTGTTGCAATTCTCCTGTGATTTCGTAACCTCACGAGATCGGCCATGTGGAACACTTTTGCTCCCGTTCCGGGTGGGAATGATGTCGTGGACAAAACGCCGTTACTCTATGTTATTACCGCTTTCACGGCCGGCGGAAAGAAAGGGTTACTGTCAGAATCTGGTTAGGATCATCATCGAGATTATCGTGGATCGAAACCAAACTTCCTCCTAAAGATTTAGTGATTATAAAGGATGTCTTTCACTGACCATGTAGTTTTTTATTGATATTAAAGCGGATGATCTGTTTATTGCACAGCTGGCCCATGTCACCGCAATGAAAGGAAGTGATCACAAAGGTATGGACTCTTTGTTTTCTCCGTTCAGCCCTTCCTGCTTGGACTTTGCTTGGATGTTTTACGTGGCTCAGCTTCAAAATGTCTGTGACTGTTTGTAGTGCAGCCGTTCTACTCAGTGTTGCTTGTTGTTGAGCAAAAAGTTCCACGCAAACTCCGATGTAGTCGATGTTTGCCGTTTTCTTTTGTCGTGAAACTCGTGTGAGACTGAAATGTGGAACGGGGATGAAAACTCTTATTCGCTGCAGATCTTCTGGAAGATGAAGATGAAGTGGATGAACACCAGCCATTCCCCTCACTGCCACAGGTAAAAGATAACGTTGTTGTGACGATCTTTATTTAAAGGACTCTTTATTTTACGCTACAGGCAAACAATTATCTGTTTGTGTCTAAAGATTTTCCAAGCTGTTCCTGAACACGTCGGCTTCAATATCGAACTGAAGTGGATCAGTCAGATGAAGGTGAAGATTCTGAAGCAGAATCGTTTTAAATTCTACTTAAAGCTAACATTTATAATGCCTTTTAATTGCAGGATGGATCGTGGGACGGAAACTTGTCCACCTACTTTGACATGAACTCCTTCCTGGACATCATCCTTGGCTGCGTTCTACAGAAAGGCGGAAAAAGACGGATTATCTTCTCATGTTTCGACCCAGATATCTGCACCATGTAAGTGCTGTTGCAGGCAAAGCGCGATCGATGATGTTTTAGTCGACTGAAACCGTAAACGTGTCCACGGTCATGACTGTGAAACAGAAATGAAATGGTAGTTATAGACTGTTGTTAGAAAGTGTCTCTTTTTCTTACAGCCGCTTGATAAAAGTCGTTTGTCCTTCAGGGTTCGTCACAAGCAGAACAAGTACCCCATCCTTTTCCTGACTCAGGGGATTTCAGTCAGGTATCCGGAGCTGATGGACATTCGCTGCCAGTCCACTCAGATCGCCATCAGCTTCGCTCAGAGCGAAAACATTCTGGTGAGTTATTTCCTATGCAGACATTCTAACCCTAACACGTTAATCACAAGGTTAAATCATGTTTTTATCAGCTGAGACGTCTTTCCAAACTAAAACCCATTCTGAATCGGCGCCACCTCGAGACAACCATTCACGCCTTCATCACCTCAAGGTTGGATTACTCCAACTCAATTCTGTTTGGCATTTCAAAAGCCGCATCATCTCGCCTTCAGCTGACACAGAATGCGACAGCAAGATTTCTGACCAATACTGGCCGTCGGCAGCACATCACTCCAATGTTAGCAAGACTTCACTGGCTTCCTGTGCACTACCGTATACGTTTAAAAATTTGATTGTTTTTAAGGCGCCGAATGGCTTAGCACCACCTTACAGATCCGAGTTACTCACTCCTTATGTGCCGGGCAGGACTCTCCGTTCAGGTGACCTACACCTACTACAGATTCCCCGTCTACGCTGCAAAACCCGTGGTGAACGAGCTTTTTCTGTCTGCGCTCTGAAACTCTGGAATGATCTCCCGTTGAATATCAGACTCCCCCTCCATTGGGGTTTTAAGTCTCATTCAAAGACTTACTTTTACTCCCTTGCTTTTACTGCCTAGCCATTTTATCGATGGTTTATTTACACTTTTCTTTTACCGATTTTATTGATTTCTCTTGTTTGGTTCTTTGTGCTATCAGGGTATCCGCGGGTCCTTAAAAAGTCTTAAATTTGCTTTTCCAAATTTAAGGCCTTAAAAATCCTTAAAAATGACAAATAATCCTTAAATACAGTTTCCAAAGGTCTTAAATTACCAAAGACCCAATAAACAAAATCATTTTGTTTCTATAAAATTTTGTGAATTTCTAGTTAGTATTCAGCATTTTTTGTATGATATTGTCATAAGCAGAACCGTACACATTCAGTTGGTTGTGAAAGGGGGCTATTTTTAGATGAGCACATTAGCTGGTTAAGCTAGTGGGAGCTTGCGCCATGGGGAAGTGCAAGTTTAATGGTAACTGGATGGCTAATCCCACTTTTGCGCGGTTCCAGGCAATAGCTAGAAATTATAGCTTAAATTTAATTTCAAAAGTAGCTTAAATTTGGTCAAAGTGGCCTTAAAAAAGGTCTTAAAAAGTCTTAAGTTTGGCTCCCTTAAACCTGCAGATACCCTGTGCTATGCTCTAGCTGTTTTATTCGTTTAACCTTACATGTTTTTACCCCCTGTACAGCACTTTGGTCAGCTCACATGCTGTTTTTAAATGTGCTCTATCAAGTAAATGGAATGGAACCCAACGACTTAAAAATGGTTCGAATGTTCTTATTTATTTATTTGCTCATCAAGGGAATCAGCGCCCACACAGAGGAGCTGCTGAAGCACCTGGATTACATCAGGGAAGCTCAGTCTAAAGGCCTGGTGGTGTTCAGCTGGGGGGACGACAACAACGACCACGACACCCGGAGGAGCCTGCGGGCCCGGGGAATCGACGGGCTCATTTACGACAGGTCGGTTAAACTTCAGTAACGTTGATCCACGTGTGAGAAGCTTTAAACGCACACACACACGTGCGCGCACACACACCCTTCCAGTAGGAACTTGCTGTTACTTATTAGTCTAGACAGCTTGAGCTAACAGGTTGTTTAGTTGTCTTACACAACATTCCCCACGTGTTTGTCTGTTGTTTTTATGATGACATGATTTCAGGTTCAGTCCAGTTGTTTTTGACACTAGCTGTGAGTTCAACACTGTTTACTCACGCAGGACATTAACATTCAGATAATAAAAGATTATTTAGGAAGATAAGTGTTTGTGTCTATGGGTCAGGACCTTTCTACTAACTTTATTGCATTTAATGAAACATCTGCTCTGAACCGTGGATTTGGTGTTACTACAGCCTCCTGTGCACGTCGCTCTACTCCAGCATGGGACATTATATCGTCTCTACGTTGCATTTTATTTGCACACGTCTCACAATCTGAACTTTAATCACGGAAAAAGTTTTAATAGGAAATCCTTTACCTCTAGTTCACTCAGTGAGAATAATTTGGTGCATAATGGGATTTTGAGTCGTGCAGTAGCTTTATGTTTGTAAAACCTTCATATAGTTATTGTTTATCCAATAGGAGCTCATGTTTACTAGCTTTTCTACTGAAGCTGGGGTTGTAACGGTTCACGAGGGGAGTGTTGAAGCGTTTCGGTTCGATCCGTTTGGTTCTGTCCACTTGCGTACATAATACATTTTTATTAGCGTGATTTAAAGAGCAAGTCACCCCCTACCAGAGTCTAACTCCACTCCCACTTCATGTTTGAAAAATGCAACAAATGCTGTTGCCTGGCAGACCGAGAGGGCGGAGCCGCTAACAAATACACACACACACAGGCTCACAGCGGCATTGTGACATCATAATGTACCAGTTTACATCATAGCATACTTCTTAGCCAATAGCGGTGGCAGATTTTAATTCAAATATAGTGCAGTTTTTACCTGGCGACGGCACAACACTGCCAGTTTTAGGCAGACTATTTACATTTTTACTAAGATGCACTGAAGTGCCAAATTATTGACGACACGTGTCTGCAGCACGGTCAGACACTCGTTTATTTAGTTTATCAGCAAAAAAAGTTTATTTGGGGGTGACTTGCTCTTTAAGTGCAGCGGATGAAAGTTCCTAGGCGAGTTTCTGCACGGACGCTGCATTAAGTGACTCATGATGGCTGCACGTGCCTGATCTCCGTTTAAAAAAAATGTGATCTGCAAATTCTGATCAACGAGCGGATCAAACCAGCTGGCTGTCGCTGCTACTGGAGCCTGTAGAGACGCTGAACGGAGCCCTTCTCTCACGCTGTTTAGACACGCAGCGGCAAAAATGTAAACAAACATCTCTGCTGAACTTTCCCCCTGGGACAACTGGTGTAACGTTTTCATCCTACAACAAAAAATACGGCACGGAGGAAGCTCGTTATGTAACAGGAGTTATAAAGAAGAAACTCTGGGCGGTGTGAGGTGAGTTTTTAAGGTTCGCTGCAGAAATAAAAACACGGAGCATCAACAGTCAAACGCAACGCTGGTCTGTTTGAGCGTGACACTCGTAGCTGCATTAATAACCTGTGAAACAATTTAAAGACATCATGCTAGATCTGCAGCCTGTGATGACACCTGGTTCTGCTCGCTATAGGAGCCTCTTCAGATATTAAATAAATAAATATAATAATATACCGAAAATTTATCGAACCGAGTAGGGCTGCAGCTATCGAATATTTTTGTAATCGAGTACTCTAATAAATGACCCTTTTGTGTTTGTAAACCATTATATCAAACAGAAAGACCTCTTAAAATGAGCTCACAATTGCCAGTTATTATTCAAGTTTTATTCAAAATTAGTTTTCAAATCTTCAGCACTTCAACTTTACTTCAGTAAACAAATGCCTGTGCAAAAAATAAGTATACGACCTGAGCCGATTTTCCCCTCGTGTGAGAATCTACTAGCCGGCAAGCCAGACGAACACTAGGAGGATAACTGTTGAAGTAGCGCTGCGAGCGGCTGCGGCCCAAACGGCACCAGAACCGCTCAAGGCGCATGCGCAAACATGGCTCGCCAGCTATTTCCCTATTAAAACTAGGGATGCACCGATGGATCGGCATTTGATCCCAATCGGCCGATAGCGCCCCTGTCGGTTTTGAGTTTTCAAAATGGATCAAAGCAGACCGATCAGCCCATTTTAGATTAGGTTACATTTCCTTTATTCCCAGATTATGTAGTTTGTAGCACTCATTATAATGTTGTAGAAAATTTCTGGCCAATCCACGTGATCGGTATCGGTGATCGGCAGCAAAAAACCTGATCGGTGCATCCCTAATTAAAACACGTCCATTTTAATTTCTACACTTTTTTTCTCACACTAACAAGGATTGTCGAGAAAGCATGTTTGCCATGTTTATGTCAAATTATACTGATCACAGAACATTTATTTACTTTCTTTTGTTTTCCTCCGCCGCTCTCATCAATACCCGCGTCCTCCTGCAGCAATCGTGAGGGACAACAGACATCAATAACAACACAATAAAAAGTCTGACGTGTTGTGTAAAAACTGCTATTTTTAGCACATTTTTAGGTTCGACGTGTTGCTAGCAGACACACAGTGTGAGCTGAAACTGAGCGCTACAAACGAAAAAGTCGCACAGTGTCCGCAGAATATATAGCGGACCTCCGAGTCCGCTTGCAGAAGTGACATTTATGGGCCATTCCCATCTGTACCGGGTCGGCCCGGGCCGGGTAGCCCCAGTCGGCCCCAGCCTGGCCCGGTTGATTCCACACATCCTTGTCTTAAGCCCATGTGGGCTGATTCTACCCACCAATCAGAGGCTTGCTCTAATGGAAGGTGTGAATTTGCTGTCAGCAGTGGGTGTGTTGGCCCTGGTTGGCCTGAAGCAGACCCCCTCGAGAAGAGGGCTGAGAATGAGCCTTGGTTGGCCCGGAAAAATACCAGGCCACCCAGATATGTAAACAACCTACGCTACCCGGCCCGGGCCGACCCGGTACAGATGGGAATGGCCCATTACATGTGGATGTTTCCTGGTCAGGTGCTGCAGCATGGAGGATGTGGTGATGTGGTAGGCTAAATCCATTTTACAGTATTTACACTGGACTACGTTGTCCGCCTTACGACGTGAAAAATGGTCCCACACCTTTGACATTTTCCATCTTTTTCGCACTCCACTGGGGTCCACATTGCCCGCCATGGCTTAAGAGAAAGTTAAGTTGCGTTCGCTACTCGCGTGTGCATTCAGTGCAGTGCGTATGTGCGTCACTTATTTCGGTCCGGGTGAAACATGACCCCGGGCGATTGCTAAGCCATGAATTAATTAAACATGAATTAAACGAAGCCTCGAGGCAGAGAATTTGACTCGAAGCTTTTTTGTACTCGAATTATTCGAGGTACTCGATTCGTTTCAGACCTAGAACCGAGCTCTTGGTGTACCGTTACACCCCTAGCTGATGCCCTTTAAAGTAAACAGGAAACACTTGGACCTGTGGGACTTTTTGTTCTGTAGTGGAGGATGAATCCATTAGCCAAGCAGCTGGTGTCCAAGTCTCATGATAAAGTATAAAACCTGGTTGTTTATCAGCTTGTTGGTGTTGTGTAATCTGGCTCCAGCAGCATGGGGATCAACGGGCACCATGTAGATTAAAAGCCCTGATTGTTTATTGGCTAGTCTACGTGAAACAAATGTGCAGTTATGTAAATCCTGTTCTGATTAGGGTTTAGTAGAATTCTCTGGGCTTGGTAAATACCGCTCGGTCAGCAGGAGCCGCTTGTCCGGCTGTTTCACTTCTGTATGTCTCCACATGCTGACGGCTGCACTTTGACCCAACTTCTGCAGAAGGTAGAGCAAAGTTCATGAAGCCACTTCCACCTTGTTGTTGTTATAACTGTGCCTCTTTCTTACAGAATTTGTGAAAGCGTGCTCCCGTATTTTGACTCGAGTTCTTCAGACTCCTGTAATTTCTCTCTGGTTCCAGTGTTTGTCAACATTTTACACCCCCAGCTTTTCTGTTTGGCCCCCTACGCTGATACTGATCAATGCTGCAGGAACACAGTCATGTTCCTAGACAATGATACATGAGGCGACTGACTTATCATACTTACAGCTGCGTTTGTAAAACCGCTTGTCTGATGAAGTCGACGCCCACGGTGATCATTTGTCTTCATTTAAGAGCGAGGCCACTTCTCGTTTTTGTTACGTTTCTGCACTGGTTTGCTTTAAATTCCTTCTCATGTTTTTAATGCTTGCTGCTGCGATGATTTAAAAATCCAACTTGAAGCAAAAGTAGAACAAAGAGCGAATGGCTTTCCAGATGCATGACACTTGATTATGTTTGAGAAATGTCCAGCTGCTGCTTTTAGTCAGATGTTTGCTGGTGTCAAACCTACTGGCTCTGATCAGAGGTCGTCCTGCATTTTCAATCAAAGCTTTGCACCTTCCCTTTGCAAGACAGCACAGCTTATTTGTCACGGTAAAGTCTTAAATGTACACGTCTTTAAGCGGCTTTGGATGATGAGCCGGGTGATGGCACTGGATCCTCTTCTGATCACACTTTTCTGAATCTGAATCTTTTCCACTCAAAAATGAGACGTCAGTTTTTTTCTTCAACGGTCGGTCTGTGTTGGCTAACTGTCCTTAGATGGGTCACATGAGCAGTGTTTATTTTCTGTGACAGATGCTAGAGCGTTTTCACTCACGACCGAACGTGCCCTTGTTGCTGATTGTAAAAACAGACCAGCCCAGCTGATTTACATGGTTTAAACTTGCCCGTTCAGTTCTGATGTAAAAGGCCTCTCAGGTTTCCAAGGGTGATTCTTTTCATGCAGGCAGAGAAGCAACCAGTGCAATCATTCCTCAACACGTTTAAACCTGGTTTAGCATGAGCCGTGGTTTACATTACTGTCTTTAAAATAGGTGGAAACTTAGTTTAATCTTATCTTGAATATATTTAAAATAAAACTAAACTGAATCTAAAGGTCAGAATTGTTGTTTGTATTAAATATTTAATATTTGGGCTTGGGGTGGGCGATACGGCCTAAAATCTATATTGCCATATAATTTGAAAAAAGTGCGGTAACGGTATATATTGCGATATATGACTTTCTTTTGTATATCTGTCAAAAACGACTGTTTCTAAACATACTCACGTACCAGATACATTGTAGCAGCAGAATAAACACACTTCAAACAGTATAAAATGCCATTTTAAGAAAATGTATTAATTTTCTGGCTCGCAGACTTTCTCATACAGTTTTGGCATCTCTGTTTGGCTGAAGTGTTTGCGGCTCAGTACCTTGTAACGTGGATCGAGTGTCTTAATCATGTCTCGAAAGCCGCTTTTCTCCACTGTAAGAAACGGCACCATGTCCTTACACAGGTACGTGGTAAAGGCATTTGTAATATCAATCCACCGTTGATTATTTCTCTCATACTGAGTGCCTTTAGCAAATGCTTGTAAAATATCCGTCTGCTGGTGTGTAAGACCACCTTTTTTCTTACCGCTCGACTGACTGGCCGTTTGTTGAGGATGCAGGTTTTGGCTTTCTTCGTATTCCGCAACGTGCTTCGTTTTGAGGTGGTAAAACAAATTAGATGTATTCCCTCTATTCGCTAATACTTTCTTCCGACATACTTTGCAGATGATATTGTTCTGTTCCACATCCGACTCCTTAAAGCCAAACCAAGTCCAAATGACCAATGTTGCACCGGTTTTTTTTACGAGAACCTCCTCCACCACAGACTCCATGCTTTCAGCCTCAACAGACGCCGCTTGATGATGTCATCAGCATGCGCTACCGCGATAGGCCGATAGTCAAAATCTCTACCGTTGGCCAAATTAGTATCATTTCTACCGTATACCGTTTATACCGCCCACCCCTAATTTGGGCCGATTGTCCTATGATTATAATCCAGCTTGTCTATGTATCACCATATAGTCACACGAATAAAACCTACAGACTTACAGTAACAACAAATATTCACAAACATATACTTTCATTAACATAAAATACTGTTTCTTCCATGAAGCCGGTGCTCTGAAAGACCAAGTTCACTAGAGACAATGTCTTACTGGTTATTTTAAAATATGTCAGTCACTCTGAGTTTAACATGCAGGCTGAACATGAAAAAAGTCTTCTACCCCTATTTCCTGCATTAGCCGCTGATGGAAAATAAACAGGGACACGCTCGGGTCAGAAAAAGCCACACAGCTTCACGTCACTCTGACAACTAACATTCATGTACTCACCCGTCTACTCACGACGGGGAAGGCTGTTGTTGGTTTAATGTCCATGAAACGGCAGATAACGTCTCGGCTCGTACAAGCTAACCGTTAGCATTAGCAGCTCCACAGAACTCCTTCAGGCTTGAGTTATTGGCGGAGATCAAACATCAATGTTGCAGAGCAAACAGTCCGTGGTAGAGTTGCTTTGCTGTTAGCCAATCAGAGGCAACATGTCCAAATATCAGGAATAATGACTCCAAATTCTGCAGTTTTCTGCTCCCCACTTCTCCAGCTAACTTCTACTTCCTGTAACAGGAGCGCCAGAGCTTTTTCTCCATCAGAGGTTGACTCACAAGGCATTCTTTTATACTAGACCAAAGCAGATTTAATGAGAACACGAGTGAACTTGGTCTTTAAAACAATCCCAGTCATCTACATTCCTGACTGCACGTGCTGACATCATCCTTGTGATTAGATTAGCAGCTCTAGTTTCCACTGACGTTCGCAACTTTTTTTGCAAGATTTAAATACGAAGCCTCAGATTTTACTGACACAATAAAGATGTTTGCTTTGCATTATGTTACCTTTGTCTGACTGATCCTGAATCAGACTTTTCTCTTCTTCTCTAGCATTTGTGAGGCCCAAGCAGAGCAGCCAAACATCTTCCAGGTAGAGGAGCAGCACAGCCTGCAGGAAGTCATCACAGAGGAGACCTTGAAGAGCTCCTCCTGCTCCTGCTACTCCATCCCCTGCTCATTGGTACCCTGCGCCGCCTCGCAGGCTCACGTTGGAAGTGCCGAATCCGATTCTGGCCTTAGCTCTTCATAAAATAATCCCTCAGCTTCTACCTTCATGAACAGTTTATTAAACACACACACACACGCACACGGACCTAGGTAGGATTTAGAAGATTAAGTGGAAGCTTCTGCGCACTCAGATAAATGCCAAAAAAAGATTTCTGTCTATATTTTTTTAAGTTGACCAGGATGATCAGGTGTTCCTTTTGGCATCAGACGTAAAACCGCGTAGACCATCTCCTCTCTCTTTCATGTGGATTTTATTAAACCCTCAGAGGTTTTTTATTTATGCTTTTTATTTATAGTTGGATTTTTATGAATTTATGGAGAAAGAAGCCATGCCAAACTTCATTTCTCACACACCAGGACGGAGGTCTTTACATGCTGGTGAATTGGGATATTGCACATTAGAGCGCAGGTTGATGTTGCGTCGAAGTGAAACTTGATATTTTATGGGTGATGACTGAACTATGGTGGTGCGGGATTACATTCTCTGCTATGTAGCTGTGTGTTTGTGTTACCTGATGTTCTCAAGTACCAATCTGATGCTGTTTCCTGAGGAATTCTGGGTAAGAATTGCTTTCTACAAACGGCGTGTGCAACTAGACGACGGTGCAGGTTTTACTTCCTGCTGGACCAACTTAACGCACTTCGAAACCACATCAATGATTAGGTCCTCCTAATGAGGAGGTTTAGTTGACTGCACTTGCATCGACTTTTCTTGCCTTTGAGACTGTTTATTGATTAGCATATTATTATTATTAGCTATTATGTCTTACACAATTCAAACTGTACTGTATAATGTAGCTTACATGTACCCAATTAGAGGAAAATAATGGTTTATTTGCACTCAGACCACAGCCTTAAAGGGTCAATTTAATTATTTTGGTTTGTTTCTGCTTAAGGCCTTTGTGTTCATCAGTAAAAAATAAGACTCAGTCTTTAAACCAGTTTAATTCTACAACACCACACAGACTGGTGCCACATGAATTCAGCAGTGATGTCTGAATCTGACTTTGCTGTGAGTTTTCTGTATATATGTGTACATACTAACACAAGTTGTTAATAAAACCAACTCATTAGCTTTTTTGTCTTTTTTTATTACGAGTATACCCTTGTTTGATCAAGCTTTACACTAAATTACCATTTTTTAAAACTCTGACAAATACTTTCAGGTAGAAATTATTTATTTTATCTGCTCTGTAACTTGATCACATCTACCAGTTTTATTAAAACCTTATCAGTTATGTCAAAAACATCTCATATATTAACTTCAATGTACAGTTGCTATAAACACCTATCCAAATGTACTGTTATTAGCTTATTTACACAGCTTCTAACAGACATGAATACAAAGATGTCTCATTGGGCACTGGAGAGCGTAACAGCGTCACCGCCATATTGGATGGGTCTTCTCACTCCAAAGTCAATGCAACTGTACTCGTTTCTGTGCAGCCTACCGGCATTTAGTTTAAAACATAACGTGGAATTACTAGCGACTTCTAGCCTACCTCATAGGATTTTTAATTTAAATGTATTTTTTTTGTTTAATAATATATATCAGGGTGTCCGCGGGGTTTTAAAAAGTATTAAAAAGTGATAAATAAAAATAGTCAAATTTAAGGCCATTAAAAGTGTTAAATTTGGTCTCAGAGGTATTATTTTTTCCAAATTAGGTATTATTTTTTTCAGACTATCAGATGTCGTATTCTGAACATCGACATAGAATTATATTCCGAATGAAATGTTTTGAACGATTATAAAAACAAAACAAGCCGATTATTTGCTCCTCCCACTTGCGCTGCCTTGAGTTGCAAATGAAGCGCTCCTCCTCCGTGTTGCCAAGTTAACTTGGCGACTTTGACGCTATTTCTAACAGCTTCTCAGACCCCCTTCTTGACTTTTTAAATCTTAAAAGTACCTAACGAACACCTCAGAAACATCTCTGGTAACCCTTAGCTACTTTCTGGATAACTGTCGTAGACATTTCCTGCAGGTTAGCTAAACTCCGCCTGCACTCCGGACCGTTCTTCAGGACATTAGGAAAGGGAATGATGTAGTGATGTGTCAGTCGCTACAGAAACAGCTCTCGGAGCTGGCTCCCTGTTGGATTAACCAGAGTGAGTGACACACACACCGCACCTGCGGACTCCTGAACCGCGGTCAAGTGAGCCGACAATTGTGAGCCGCGGTCAAGCCAGCCGCATCTTATCCGCCGCGAAAATTTCATTGCTTGTTTACAACGGTCTTTGCGGTACGGCATTTTGAACAGGGAACTGCCCAACTCGTGACAGTCTGGTTGCATATTCAAAAATTCATAAAAAATCATCCTTCATAGCTGATGTACAAGTTTCACCACATTATGATTCTGGGACACCCACTGTACCTGTGTGCCACATTTCAGACAGATTTACTGTAGAAATCCTCAGATATTACAGCAAACTTGTATGCAGTCCACACTTGTGACAGTCATGTTGCATAATCAAAAATTCATAAAAAATCATCCTTCATAGCTGATGTACAACTTTCACCACATCCTTACTCTGGAACACCCACTGTACCTGTGTGCCACATTTCAGACAGATTTACTGTAGAAATCTTCAGATTTTAAAGAAAACTTGTATTCAGTCCACACTCGTGACAGTCTGGTTGCATATTCAAAAATTCATAAAAAATCATCCTTCATAGCTGATGTACAAGTTTCACCACATTATGATTCTGGGACACCCACTGTACCTGTGTGCCACATTTCAGACAGATTTACTGTAGAAATCCTCAGATATTACAGCAAACTTGTATGCAGTCCACACTTGTGACAGTCATGTTGCATAATCAAAAATTCATAAAAAATCATCCTTCATAGCTGATGTACAACTTTCACCACATCCTTCCTCTGGAACACCCACTGTACCTGTGAGCCACATTTCACACAGATTTACTGTAGAAATCTTAAGATATTACAGCAAACTTGTGTTCAGTCCACACTCGTGACAGTCTGGTTGCATAATCAAAAATTCATAAAAAATCATCCTTCATAGCTGATGTACAACTTTCACCGCATCCTTCCTCTGGAACACCCACTGTACCTGTGTGCCACATTTCACACAGATTTACTGTAGAAATGTTCAGATATTAAAGAAAACTTGTATTCAGTCCACACTCGTGACAGTCTGGTTAATATTCAAAAATTCATAAAAAATCATCCGTCATAGCTGATGTACAACTTTCACCACATCCTTACTCTGGAACACCCACTGTACCTGTGTGCCACATTTCAGACAGATTTACTGTAGAAATCTTCAGATTTTAAAGAAAAATTGTATTCAGTCCACACTCGTGACAGTCTGGTTAATATTCAACAATTCCTAAAAAATCATCCTTCATAGCTGATGTACAACTTTCACCACATCCTTACTCTGGAACACCCACTGTACCTGTGTGCCACATTTCAGACAGATTTACTGTAGAAATCTTCAGATATTACAGAAAACTTGTATTCAGTCCACACTAGTGACAGTCTGGTTAATATTCAAAAATTCATAAAAAATCATCCTTCATAGCTGATGTACAACTTTCACCATATCCTTACTCTGGAACACCAACTGTACCTGTGTGTCACATTTCACACAGATTTACTGTAGAAATCTTCAGATTTTAAAGAAAACTTGTATTCAGTCCACACTCGTGACAGTCTGGTTAATATTCAAAAATTCATAAAAAATCATCCGTCATAGCTGATGTACAACTTTCACCACATCCTTACTCTGGAACACCCACTGTACCTGTGTGCCACATTTCAGACAGATTTACTGTAGAAATCTTCAGATATTACAGAAAACTTGTATTCAGTCCACACTAGTGACAGTCTGGTTAATATTCAAAAATTCATAAAAAATCATCCGTCATAGCTGATGTACAACTTTCACCACATCCTTACTCTGGAACACCCACTGTACCTGTGTGTCACATTTCAGACAGATTTACTGTAGAAATCTTCAGATATTACAGAAAACTTGTATTCAGTCCACACTCGTGACAGTCTGGTTAATATTCAAAAATTCATAAAAAATCATCCGTCATAGCTGATGTACAACTTTCACCACATCCTTACTCTGGAACACCCACTGTACCTGTGTGCCACATTTCAGACAGATTTACTGTAGAAATCTTCAGATTTTAAAGAAAACTTGTATTCAGTCCACACTCGTGACAGTCTGGTTAATATTCAACAATTCCTAAAAAATCATCCTTCATAGCTGATGTACAACTTTCACCACATCCTTACTCTGGAACACCCACTGTACCTGTGTGCCACATTTCAGACAGATTTACTGTAGAAATCTTCAGATATTACAGAAAACTTGTATTCGGTCCACACTAGTGACAGTCTGGTTAATATTCAAAAATTCATAAAAAATCATCCTTCATAGCTGATGTACAACTTTCACCACTTCCTTACTCTGGAACACCAACTGTACCTGTGTGTCACATTTCACACAGATTTACTGTAGAAATCTTCAGATTTTAAAGAAAACTTGTATTCAGTCCACACTCGTGACAGTCTGGTTAATATTCAAAAATTCATAAAAAATCATCCGTCATAGCTGATGTACAACTTTCACCACATCCTTACTCTGGAACACCCACTGTACCTGTGTGCCACATTTCAGACAGATTTACTGTAGAAATCTTCAGATATTACAGAAAACTTGTATTCAGTCCACACTAGTGACAGTCTGGTTAATATTCAAAAATTCATAAAAAATCATCCGTCATAGCTGATGTACAACTTTCACCACATCCTTACTCTGGAACACCCACTGTACCTGTGTGTCACATTTCAGACAGATTTACTGTAGAAATCTTCAGATTTTAAAGAAAACTTGTATTCAGTCCACACTCGTGACAGTCTGGTTAATATTCAAAAATTCATAAAAAATCATCCTTCATAGCTGATGTACAACTTTCACCACATCCTTACTCTGGAACACCCACTGTACCTGTGTGCCACATTTCAGACAGATTTACTGTAGAAATCTTCAGATTTTAAAGAAAACTTGTATTCAGTCCACACTCGTGACAGTCTGGTTAATATTCAAAAATTCATAAAAAATCATCCGTCATAGCTGATGTACAACTTTCACCACATCCTTACTCTGGAACACCCACTGTACCTGTGTGTCACATTTCACACAGATTTACTGTAGAAATCTTCAGATTTTAAAGAAAACTTGTATTCAGTCCACACTCGTGACAGTCTGGTTAATATTCAAAAGTTCATAAAAAATCATCCTTCATAGCTGATGTACAACTTTCACCACATCCTTACTCTGGAACACCCACTGTACCTGTGTGCCACATTTCAGACAGATTTACTGTAGAAATCTTCAGATATTACAGAAAACTTGTATTCAGTCCACACTCGTGACAGTCTGGTTAATATTCAAAAATTCATAAAAAATCATCCGTCATAGCTGATGTACAACTTTCACCACATCCTTACTCTGGAACACCCACTGTACCTGTGTGCCACATTTCAGACAGATTTACTGTAGAAATCTTCAGATTTTAAAGAAAACTTGTATTCAGTCCACACTCGTGACAGTCTGGTTAATATTCAAAAATTCATAAAAAATCATCCGTCATAGCTGATGTACAACTTTCACCGCATCCTTCCTCTGGAACACCCACTGTACCTGTGTGCCACATTTCAGACAGATTTACTGTAGAAATCTTCAGATTTTAAAGAAAACTTGTATTCAGTCCACACTCGTGACAGTCTGGTTAATATTCAAAAATTCATAAAAAATCATCCGTCATAGCTGATGTACAACTTTCACCACATCCTTACTCTGGAACACCCACTGTACCTGTGTGCCACATTTCAGACAGATTTACTGTAGAAATCTTCAGATTTTAAAGAAAACTTGTATTCAGTCCACACTCGTGACAGTCTGGTTAATATTCAAAAATTCATAAAAAATCATCCGTCATAGCTGATGTTCAACTTTCACCACATCCTTACTCTGGAACACCCACTGTACCTGTGTGCCACATTTCAGACAGATTTACTGTAGAAATC